GTGCAGGCGGGGGGGGCGTCCTTCACCATGTCTATGCATATTGCTTTGTTATGATAACTGCTGTTTTACGCCGCAGTTCGCGTTCCGAATGTTATCACAAGAATGCTGAGTTATGGGCAAAAGTCGAACCCCAGGCGGGAGTCGAACCCGCACCTCACGGCGAGTGCGCTATCCGTTACGCATCATAATTTCTTTCATTGGTATAGAATAGTCGATTTTCCCGTTTCAGACGCGTTATAAACTCCCGGCCCCCTCTATGCATGTTACATTCTTGCAGATCAAACAACCGTTTTCAGGGCATTCATCACACAAGCCGTGCGATTCAGAATCACTATGTAACGCGTGAAATTGATGGAACCTCACTGGTTGTTTACCATTTCAAAAGTAACGGTGGAAATGAGACAGATGATCGAATTGTCAGGGACTATGGCGAACGTCTACAGCAGCGATATGATGAAGTGCTGAAGAAATTGAAAATATGAAGTGTTTCGTACAGTCTTGTTCGCTGCGAATGGTGAGGCGTGTCAAGTAGGGAGGGGCTGAGTTTGGCGCGGCGCCAACCCTATCTCCATCAATTGTTGAAATGTTAACAGTTGATGGACGTCGTTCTGGGGCTGGTCGCCAGAGCCAATCCCTCTCACCACGGCACGCCTGAGCGTCCGCAACGCCCAAGATTGTTGTCTTCTTCGCAGAACTTTCTTCAGAGTTTTGATACGGGTTTCCGACTGCTTTTAATACGAGTAAATAAATTTATTTTCCGACAAAACAATTTGTAAATAGGAGGCAATACAAAGAACAACAACAGTAATAAGGTGACGTTAATTCTTGGAAGACAAGTCAGCGCTGCTGATACTGTTTGCAAAGAAATAGACACAACAGCACTAAGCCATCGTAAAATTCAATGAAAATGCCTGATTGTGACACTTCGGCAGGATCTCTTACGATAGCTCTATTTTGGGGCTTTATCACAACTCATAGAGACAAACTGTACAGTCGTGTTCGCTGCGGATGAAGGGGTGTGCTCAGACGGAACGCTGCGCCAGTCCGTTTTTTTTTTTTTTTCTGGCGTCTCTACTGTATCGCTTGTATCGGTCGTTGTGCACCAGATGTTCTGTGTTTTTCACCAACTTCAACAACTGGTGCACCTAAGGGCGCGCCAAAACCAGTTTCAGTGGCACGCCCCATCATCCGCGGCGAACAAAACTGTACATCCACCTGTTCCTGTCTTTCATGTGTGAGGTAAGTAGGACCGCAGCAGCAATAGCGTGCCCGAAAGCGCTCCTGCGCCCAACAATGCACGGGAAAGGGGCTGGAGGGTAGCTATGCCCGCGTGCCGCTGCCGGATTCCGCCCGGCTGCCGCATGATCAATCACCCGCCTAACTATAGCCAAACAAGCGACTTGTCTGCACCCTCTCACATTTACTTGTTCTACCTATGGTCCGCTGCGGAATTTCGGTGCCGACGCAAACGTTTACTTTGAGAATAGTGTGGGCGGAGTCTGGAAATACACTCGCACAGCCTCCTACCCGATTTTCTTAGAGTTGACAAGGCAGGGTTCTCAGAGGTGGACGTACAGTTTGTTTTGAATCAAAACAGAATATCTGAAGGCATTCGGCACGAAGTCTGGGGCGGGCTGTTGCTGCCGGCGTCATTGGTTGATGCTTGAATGGGGTGTGGCCAAAGCCACACCCCATTCAAGCATCAACCAATGACGAATGACGGTGACGTACCTCATCCGCCAATGACGTTGAGAGCAACCACACACCTCCAGCCTTCGTGCTTAACCTTTGACTAGGAGAAACAAAAACGATTCGTTGAGATGGCACGGAATTAATCGACTTAGAATTCGTTTAGTTACATATACAATACCTCATTAATGTTTTAGTCACTTACTACCAAAAGGTTTCCCTAGCAGTACACTTACAGTATGCAGCCACGCTACGCACGCGAGCGCATGCCCCTTTCCGCCGAGGAATGACCATTGGCGGATAAATGATATCGTAGTGGCCTTTACGATCATATCGATACTGCACCGTGATATCGAGAAGGTCCCCACTTTTACTTTTGGCAGTACAGCTTTGATACAGATATACGAACTGAAAAATACAAAAAATAAATGTTGTAAAAAAGAATAAAAGTTGCTAGTCTCATTCAGAATCCGGAGAGCAGTCGTTGAGTCATGATGCGATTCGGGAATGCTGCCTCGTAATAAGTATGCCTATATGCGTAGCACCCAAAAACACCATCAAAATGGAGAGATTGTGGTCTGCTTTTGGCCGCTGAGCAGGGTTCTCGCACGAGGTCAGGCATGGCGTTGAAGGACACTTCTTCTTCAATGCGATTCGCCCCCCCCCCTTCCCATACATCCTTCGACTTCCCATACTCTGATTAAGGATAGAGTGGATACCCCCGATCAACCTACAGAAACATAGATGCCAGGGCACGTCTATGTGGGTGGGGTTTAACCCTAGTGGGCGGAGCTTGGGTGCGGTTATCAGGATCAGGACGCGACTGTCAACGACTAAGCGACGTCCTGTCACTGGGGAATTTTTGCAAAATACTAACCCCTCAAGTTTTTCCCCCATCCCAGCTTGCCAGCACATTTTCAGAAATGTTCTACGATTTTTCCAAATTTTCACCAAAATTCTGCCGTCGAGCGGATGGGGTATGTGACCAAACAATCAAGAAGCTGCTCTGGTGGGCGTGGCTCGCGACGCCGCCCGCGGTAGACGAGTTGGATCTCCTGGTCTTCCCAATCTGAATGTTGAAGGAACTGGAAAATCGATATGGCCCGTCATGGAGTCTCGTCGCTGCTTGACTTCATCTGAGTTTCACTGCTTCAATCTACAAACTGCTGCACATCGACGATCCGCTGCGCATCGCCGCACGATACGCCGCGCGGCGACGCGACAAACAGTGAGTGTTTTGTCCGTCTCCGCAAGAGGAGTATGAGGGAGATCGTCATCAGACAACTGCTGAATTCAACTATCAAAAATAGTAGTTGTATAGGGCTTTGGCTAGTTTACGAGCAGGGGGGAGGGTACAAACTAGTCACGGTCTTATTTGAGACACCGTTACTACCTACCCTGGGATATGCCCTCATTATACAGCTTGTAGAAAAGGTTTAGCGAAATCGCGAGAAATGGAAAGCAGGACAACTAGGTTTGAACAAATACTTTACATATCCCGGTTATAGGGTGGGCGTGACTGCATAAAACAATGGATGGGATGCGTTTTGTCAGGGATATTTGCATTTGGGACGACTGTCGCCCTGACCTGTGCTGAACAAAGAGGCAAGTGCCCCAAAACAACAATATCCCAGCTCGAGCGCAAGAGCGATCACGAAGCTACGCCCTCCCCATCCCCGGTATATGACGTAAGCATACGCTTAGGAACCTTGCATAAGGTCCACAAGGATCCTATTCCATCGCGGATAAACTTACACGCCGTGCGCACGATGTCTGGAAGGAGATTATTGCCAGGTCACTGGTGGCCCTTATGGCCAAACCCCTTTACCATTAGCTCTTCTACCTATGACGTTGACGACAACCGCCCACCTAGCCCTCTCCCTCTCCCCGCCATTGTAGCCTCTGTCTCAGTCCTTCATGGCGTGCTTTTCTCATTTAGAACACAACCGCTGAACTCCAAATGAAAAGTCCAATCTCCACGAAATCCAAACATACAGCTGATGGTTTTCCAGGGACCTCTCCCTTTGGTAATTCGTGTTTATTCCTCATTCGCAGTCGGACCATCTCATTTGGCACCCGGACATCTACCTAAAAGTGATGATATGTTGACTTGTAGTGACGATTCAATAAGGTAAAGAAGGACTCGGGACAAGACCCATTATTCTCAGTTATCCTGCTCTTGCACTGGATCCTACCCACGTCAGCAGAGTCAATAGGTCTCTATGAGGCATGAGGCGTTGACCGGCAAAGAACCAGCAAAATGCCTCCACGAAGCCGAAGTGCGCTGAAAAGTGGTTACTTACTTCTGAGTGACAGTGAATGGAGTTCAGCCTTAGGCACCCATGTCGTTCCATATACTGTCTCAACGACACAAGCATAGATAAGCGATTAATTTTTGATTCTAAAAAATATTACTTTGTTGCAGCTTTGATAAGATTTCATATTATTGGTAACGTACGTTCTCCTTCCGGCTCAGGCTCCATGCACAAGCAAAAATTATGCACAACGTTGTTTTCTATGCACGATCTATTGGTGGGAATCCGCCGAAATAGTGAAATTCCTTCAATATAATTTGAGATATTGATGAATGAGTTTCTTAAAAAATGCAGACGATGCTCAATATTGATCTTTCGCTTTGCGACACGGCAAAATGATTCAGTTTTCATTCTGAAAAGAGAAGAAGCCCAAATGCTTACACCATTGTGAGCTGCTGACGGTGGCGGCGTCAGGGGAGAGGAGGCTGGGTTTGGCGCGGCGCTGCCCAGCTCCCGCCTGCCAGCTCCCTAAATTGGTGGAGAACGAATAGCGCCGCGCGCCAAATCTAGCCCTGCACGCCGCAGCGTCCACAGCAAACGGGACGGTATTTGGCCGAGGAATCACCCCTGGATAGACCACACAGTAATAACAAAACAAAAAACCTTGTTAGCATTCGAGCGTGACGCGCACGTTGCACGTTACAAAAAGGATATAAATTGAACTTATGGCTAGACTTGGGCATACCTCGTTTACCTGGTCTATTCACACCAATTTTCCCCTCGATAATGTCCAGGAGTGTTTCGTGCACATCGAAGTTTCTGAAGTATTGGGTGAACAGTAGACAAGCTAAGGTATAACTAAATGAACTCCGATTTCCGAAGACACAACGCACGATAATTTTGTACTCGGTCTATAATGGTAGCGGGAGTGCTATGTAATGGGGAAAATGGCTAAAAACTGAAGTGAAACGATCAAAAACCTTTGTTCAACACGACTCAGAAAGGAATTTCGGACGATTTTACCGTTGGCATCGTGCCTATAACTGTTACGGTAGATAGGACTGCACATGTGTACTAATATCCCATGCAGCACACAGCCGCTTTGTATCATTCCCTTTGCTTCATACAGCACCCCGCAACTGAAGGGATACGAGCATCAGCATCGGTCGAACCTTCGTGGGCAGGCGGGCGCGTTAGGTGTCCCTGTTGGTATATCGCAGCTTGAAAGGTAAAGGTTGCCTTGCTATGAAGGTACGTTCTACCTTCCTCGGAGAAAGCGCCACGCAGCGCCTGCGCAGCGCGCCAAATTTTGCCCTACTATTAACCCTACACGTGTTGGTGATTTATCGTGCCACTTGCTTTCAAAATCGGTCTGCCAGTTTTCGACACAAAAAAAACTCACGAAGTGAAACGCTGTGTGTTGACAAGAAGATTTTGCCAGTTTTCAGGATACGACTGTATGAAATTGCTTCGGTAGAAGCAGTGACAACAAAGGTTGACGTTCCTCTTAACCATAACTTCAGATTGCTAGAGCATTTCAGAGAGGAAACACGAACGAATCGGATGGGAAAGCGGAAATGCAAATGTCCCACCACGGATCTCCCCTGCCTGCCCTCCACCTTCCCTTACCCAAACTACACCACAATTTGACTATAGAATGGCAGGCAGGGATAGATGGACCCGGCTATGCATCAAATATCAGAAATCGGTGGTCTAAAAAAAGCTTTTCTGTTTAATAAAACAACGCTCTCTTTCCCAAAAAGCTGGAACCATCCTCTTCGCTCGTTATAAAGTCTAATGAAAGCTAAAAATGACGAGATCCTACCTATCCTCCCAGCAAACGTTCTGCTCATTCTGGTCACACGATTGCCATGGTCACCCATGATTATCAAAAGAGTGTTTTGTAGTGCTCCTGATTCCTCAAAGCGAGTTTTGATAAGTTCGATGACATCCATTTCACGCGAAAAAGCCAGCATTTACCCTTAAATCTCGCAGTTGTTCACTGAGGATGTCATCAAGCAGCTCAATCGAGTTGGGGTGATCATGGGTGAGACTGCAATATCGCAATTCTTATACCTTGTACATAAAATCTGAAGTCAGTAACTGAAATTTATTCAATTTTGCTCTGCGTGGGAGGTGCATCTGCGAAGTGGCAAAAGTGAGTCACCCTTGTGGGGGGGGGGGTGGGTGTTGTACTAGGGGAGGAAATTTTGAGGGGTGGGTCATGTTCCAGGAAAATTTCCACCAACAACAAGACGTGCCCTTGTTGCAATGCCTGCCGCGAACCCGATTGTGAGAGGCGAGATTGGTAGCAAAGATGACGTCGACGGCTAGCTGGGGTTGCCTCCGACTGTACGGACCATGTAAGTTTAACCACCCCTCCACCTCCGCCCCCCCCCTTCCCTTTCAACCTGATCATTAATCAAGCGTAGCGCTTCTGCCGTCAGGGAACATCGCTCACCTGGTTAAAAAGCTGAAACTGAAATTACACGTGTGTGCATAAGCCTTCGCGAAACGGTACCATATCTCAAGGAATTGCGAGTGTAGGAATTCGCCTTGGTAGCAATGTTGCACTTGGTTCGCCAAATCCTTCAAATAAAGTCGAAATTTTTTGAGCGTGCAACATTTCGAAGCAAGAATCTAGACTAGACCAGGTTTCAATGAAAAAATCCAACGCACTTGAAAAACTTGGAGGTAATAAGCGCGATAGTAATGGTCAGTCGGTCGATGGAGAAAACCTGAAGAAGATTCTTTGCTGTCACACTTAGACTGAGTTCATACTTTGCGGCAGCGTTCACCAGCATTCAGAGCGTCCGGCAGCATCAGCGACTAGGAAAGTATAGTCATCGATCCAGCGTCTGCCAGCGTCTACCAGCTCGCACCGCGAGCCAGCGGCGACTGCTGGTACCGTGTATGGCAATAGAAAAACTCCACTCCCGGCGCTGCTGATCGCGCCATTAGTACGCTGGTGGAAACTACGGGTAACACTGGTAGATGAAATATCGATATCTTACTTCACTGCCATCGGGAATGTCGTACGCTGGTGGACTCTCTGCAAGTATGATCCGCAGCTAAATTCTCCTGATACCCCACCCCCTTTTTTGAAATTAATTGTCCGTAGTGAGGCCCTCTTCAGCTGTGGCATGATTCCGTCGTTAGCTAACATTGTTGTTGCATCCTTTCCTTGAAACAAAGCTGAACCGCATTCGCCGGGGATATCCTGGTCCGCTGCGTGTGGGCGAAATGAATGGTCCGCAGCCTGCATGCCATTGTCCGCAAAAGCCGCCACGGACGACGGGATGGGACACCCCGGTGTCGCATCTCGCATCACTCCACGTGCCGCCACGTGGCTCCAACAGCATGACGCGTACCGGCGTGGCGTCTCATCACTTTGCGGCAGCGTAGCGTAGCGGTAGCGCAGCGTAGCGTAGCGCTTCAGCGTCCACGCCCGCGAGCACGTGCGACAGAGCAGAGCGCCATATCGACTCTCACGCTTCACCCAGCGTCACCATCAGCGCACGCTGGCGTAACCGCTAGCGGCAGCTAGCGTATCGCCAGCTTTCTCCGCGTTTCATCCGCGCTTTTTTGCTAGCGCTTGCAGCGGCAGGGGAGTAGAGACTATGGGAGAGCTGGAGGGTACAAAACTCATCGATTGCGCGTCTCCCACTCGCCCTTAGTCTCTACAATGCACATCGCTTCTGCGTCTCCGACGGCCCCATAGTCTCTACGATGCACATTGCTTCTGCGTCTCCGACGCCACATAGTCTCTACAATGCACATCGCTTCTGCGTCTCCGACGGCCATATGGTCTCTACAATACACGTCGATTCCGCTTCTCTCACGGCCACATAGTCTCTACTCCCCTGCCGCTGCAAGCGCTAGCAAAACGCTGGTGAAACGCTGGAGAAACGCTGGCGTACGCTAGCGTACGCCAGCGTGCCGCTGGTGACGCTGGTGAAGCTAGATCGATATGCATCCTCTCTTCGGCACTGCCGCTGGCGTACGCTGGAAGCGCTACGCTACGCTGCGCTACGCTACGCTACGCTGCCGCAAAGTATAAACGCAGCCTAACGTCCACTTAGGCAGCGTTCAGACTTCGCGACGGCAGCGCCTCGGTCGCGCGTTCGGCGCGATCGATGCGCATGCTTTCGACTGCATCGATCGCGTCGAACGCGCGACCGAAGCGCTGCCGTCGCGAGTCTGCACGTTTAGCTTATGGTTGCTCTCTGCATTCGATTCTTTGTTCACTGCGGGATTTCGGTGTCGCAGCAAGAGCTGCACCTTGAGGGTAGCGCGGGCGGAGTCAGGAGGCGGCACCCGGGTAACACTAACCTCCAGGCCCGTTCCCGCGAAGTTTTGATCGGAGAAAGTGGCACGCTATTGCAGCTGCGGTTCCATGCAGGTGGGCAAGGGCCGAAAGTACAGATCGCCTTTGAACATAGTCAAACAACTCCCGAGAAGGAAGCCCGAGACGCCGTTGGCAAGCGTTGTTTCAAAACAAGTATTTTCTGGTTTTTTCTTTTTGGCTGAGGTATTAGTTGAACGAAATATTAAACACGCTCCGTGGAAACTCTTACTCTTCATGTCCTTCCATATAAATTTTATCGTGTCAGGATCGATCGTTTTATTTGATGGATGGAAGCGTTGAATGTTGACATCGCCGGAATCGTCAAATTCCGGGAACTCAAGACCTGAACAGAACTATCAAGAATGAGGGCCAAGCCTTTGAGGAGCCGGGTGTAAGTGCGGGTGCACAGCATTACTTCCTAGTTGCGTGGAGCACGTCAAAAAAGGCGTTGCAATCGGAGTGATATGCGTAGCATTCGCACCAGGACCCACTCAACGCCACGTGGCAGCATTACGACTTGTCGACTCTCTCTCTATGTCTGGGTCACACGTCAACTAGCTATGGAAATGTTCATTTTTCCCTTAACGAGAAAGTAACGCTGTACACCCCTGGTGGGCCTCCTCATACCTTCATCCAGTTGTTGTGCAAGAATTGGCAGAAGATTCACCATGCTGTTGTCTCCTACCTAGAAACACTAGTTTTCTTTCGAAATGATGGAGCTGACCTCGGAGAATAGCATTCCAAGCACTTTTGTAAGGCTTCCTATTAAGAATGTGTGGAGAAGATATTTTATTTCTGGCTTTAATCAGCTTAAAATTGGTCGACGATCGCTCG